TAATTTGGTTTCACCATGTAGCCCAGGCTGGTCTTGAACTGGAGATCTTCCTGTCTCAGTCTCCTAAACACTGGTGTTACATTTTTGTGCCACAGTGTTGTGTCAGTGTTTTTGTGTCTGCATGTTCATGTGTGTGCAGAAGTATTCAGCTTAAAAAAAAACCTTTCAAGTCTAATTTTCTACTACATGCCATTGGCAAAAAAGTAAAATAAAATAAAATAATCTATGATAGGAGGATGCAAGGGACATAAAGTGAGAGGGTGCAGGAGCAAGGTCTGGAGCACGGCCGGTGTTTCATCAACATGAGCTCACTTTCGCAGTCCGGTACAAAGCCTAAATCACAGACTGCAAAAGCTGCTGAAAGGAGCCATAACCACTCTGTAGCCAAGTCCTTTGACTGCATAGCTGGAAAGCTGTGAGTATGAAGGTCAGCCTTGCTCAACCTTGACCTCATAGCTGAGTTTCCAGCTTCAGTGGCGAAGCAAAATTTAATGCATGTCTCGGAAAGAAACTGCAAGCTGATTCATCAAAAAGAAACAATTATCCCTTTGGTTTGGATTATAAGTACAATTTGTAGGTATGTAAAAATTTAAAAAAAATAGAATACTCACAGAGCATTAATTCAATTGAGTAATGTTACCAGGAGTCTTACAGGGGTTTATTTTAAAATTACATTTCTGGCATTTATGCAAAAACAGGCAAATATATTAAATACAAAGTTAAACAAACAATGCATTCTTTCTACTGTAGGATATCTAGTCACAATCCAGAATTATTTAAATAGTTTGTCATAAAACACTCAAATATCCACAGGGTGTTTTTTGGCAAATACGCAAAAATGTAACTACCTAGTAATGATTCCACTTTTCTTGACACAGACAAGCAAGTTTCTTAGTCAAATGTAGCTTAGAGACATCATCTAATCTGACATCTTAGATTCTAACATGCTGTGGGTTTTTTTAAAAGACTAGTATTTCTATAATTTTACACTTATTTGTTTGCATATGTGTGTGTACCTGGAGGTCAGAGGACAACTTAAAGGTTCAGTTCTTTCCAAGATTAAACTCAGGTTGTCAGTCTTGGTGGCAAGCACCTTTCCCCACCGAGCCCTCTCACTGGCCCCAGACTATGCACACACACACACACACACACACACACACACACACACATATCCATCCCAACACCCATGTAATCAAAATTTAAACAAATTATGGCAAATAAAAGAAAACATTTATATTTTAACAATGTTTTAACATACGTGGGCTTTATTAGGTGTTCCATGTATAGTCATCTGGTATGTTTAAAGAGTGAGCAATCATATAAAAGGAAATATGGTCATAAGTGATTGAAGTAATAAAATCCCCAAACTAAATAACAACTCATAATTCATAGTACGGCATATATTAGATTTCATTACATCAGTATATAGCTTAGCAGTAAATTCTCCTGACGGCCATAAACCTGCAAGGTGTTGTCATCCTGAAAAATGAAGGAGAGGGAGTTGCTGAGGGTACAAAATGGATAAATCTTCCCCAGCGTAGTGCCTTCAAGTTGCAAAGTTGTAGTGCACTGCCCCCTAGTGGCAGAATTTGAGTCCTTTGTAATAAGGGGATTCCTGCTTCCTAAAGGAAAGAAAGGCTGTCTATCCATCTTGCTATACCCACCTCTGAGGTGGGGCTCTAAAGGGCTTCTCAGGCACAGTGCAAACAGATCTGCTGTTCATACACTAGGCTGTCAAGGATCTGGGTGTAAGCTTTATGTTCACTTAACCTTTTAATTCCAAGCACTGTGGTTATTTTCAAAGCCACTCAACATACTTCTATTTTTAAAATGCACCTAGTTGTGGCTTTGGAAGAATTACTGTGGCTGTAGGATTTTGGACTTTGGACTAGTTTGTATTTTATCCTTGTCTTTTAGCAGATTGAAATTAATGGAGAGCAAATGCCTTACAAAGTGTCCTTGCACAGATAGATGAAACCATTACACTGAGTTTAAGATTCTATAACTTGAAAGCAGCATCAGTAGTGTTACTGATTGAATATACGGTGTCATGCACAAAGGCTATCATTAAATATTTGTGTGCAAGAGAGAATCAGGCCAGCATCACATCTGAGTCCATGATCCAAACATGCCTTCCTCTACTTCTCGTGTTTTGGCAAGAGAGTTGGTGACGAAGCAGGGAACTTAAGCCAGCTTTCTGTCTTAGATGGACTTTCAGCATTCACTAAGATAAAGAAACAGAACATGGGCCACTTCTCAGTAACAAATATGTCTTCCTTCAAGATTTAAAAAGGCCACATATTCCAAGCCAAGATCAATCTCAAGCTTGGAAGACTAGTGTAAAGCAAACTAGCAGGATGTGACATGTTTGAAATCCAGGAACACTGTCAGTGTAAAAGGCAAAGTCTGGAATCAGCTGGGTTCCATCCTCATCAAAGCCACTATGGATACACTTCATGCTCTTTCCATCTTAGGAGACAGAAACTTCATTCAGGGTCAAGTGTTCAAAATAAGCAGGAGTGAGTGACCCTAGGTCACTGAGGACCCAAGACCTTAGGTCTTGGTTATCAGGCCTCAATTTGTTTTGATGGTACTTGGTGTTTCCCTCATATAATTCTGCACTGTAAGGTCTTGGCATAATTCAGTGAGTATATTTTTACAAACGTATTTTGTAAAAATACGTTCTATCATTAGCTCTATCTTACAGTTGAACAAACGGATGCACAGAGGTTGGTCTTCCTAAGGTTAAGGAGGATGTGCAAGGATTGAGGCTCATGTGGTCCAACCCATAACCAGCTTGGAACGACTTGGACTCAGCTGTTTCAGATTTCCCATAGTGACTTGCAGACAGGATGGCTCTTGTTAATAGAAAGGCTCTCCTCTGTCACTGACAGGATTACACCCGACTGTTCACAAGTTCTTCCTCTCCCCAGTCTCCTAGTGATCTCAATCCTGGCCCTGCTTATTCTTCACAATAAACAGAATAGAATAATCCACAGTACTGTGAACATGAAGGCAGTTGTGGTGGTACATGGCTTTAATCCCAGCACCTGGAAGGTAGAGGGAGGATAATCACTGTGAGCCAGCCTGGTCTACATAGTGAGCTGCAGGCCAGCCAGAGCAACATAGGGAGACCTTGTCTCAAAACAAAAACAAAACCCCCAAACACACAAAAAACCCAAACCACCATAAGTTCATTCTACATTTTCCAAGAAATCTGCATATTGGCTCTCATTTAGAACTCAGTAGCGAAGTGAGGTAGATGGCAGCTTGGCTTTGGGAGGAAGTCTCCTTCAAATGAGAAGTTGCCCTTATTATGCCATAGTTTCAATCATAACAGGTGGGTAGCCTGGTACATCCTATTCCTGTTAAGTCAAAGTCTCATCAGTGGGGATGGGGAAATGGCTCAGAAACTAAGAGCAAGGCTGCTCTTCCAGATGACCTGGGTTCAATTCCCAGCACCTGTATGGCAGCCCACAACTGTTTGCATGTAACTCAAATTCCATGGGATCTAACACCCTCACACAAACATGCAGACAAAACAGCAGTGCACATGAAATAAAAATAAATCATTTTTAAAGCAAAAACAAACAAAACCAAAAACTGAACTCATCTGTGCTAGTCCATCTCTTGGTATTGCCTTTTGTTTTGCTTTAATGATGTTCAAGAATTCCTTTTACCACAAGGACCATTTTTATTTTTAAAGGAAGGCTCTACCTCACTGGAGAGCTGAAAAGAAAAGAATAAATTTCAAGATGGGTTTCAAAATATAATCGAGGATCAAAGGAAAATTTTTCTGGAAATTAAATAAATTCACTTTTTAATATTTTCTAATCTTTTAAGATATCTTTTTTTTAATAGTCTCACTGTACAACTCAGGCTGATCTCAAACTCAAAAGCCAGACATCTGTCTCCCAAGTGCTGGGATTACAAGAGTATACCACCATGTTTACCTAGTACATCTGACTTTAAAATACATTAGGATCATGTTGTAAAGGCCAACAGAAGTGTCTTTTTGAACACCTTTTGTGTGTATGTGAAAGAACTGTAATATGCACATGCAGACTTGGATGAGTTTGTGAGTTTTCACTGTAATGGAACGTTGCTGTCTGTAGATCACCATCGGAAGCTCTTGTGCGCAGGGCAGGAGTTCCTCCTACTGACTTGCTCACTGCAGGTCATCACTCACTTCTACCAAAGAGCCTCAAAACTCACAGCAGGGAGAAGAACATGTACTTTTAAATTAGCTTATGATTTGAAAAGTCTCTGCTGATTAGCACCTAGGTATGTGGGGTTTTGTTTTGGTGTCAAGATAGGATCTACGTGGCCCTCCAAGTTCTGTAACTCACTATATAGATCAAGCTTGCCTGTGCCCTCAGTTCTAGGATTAAAGGTGAGTGCACAATGCCCAGCTCAGTTCTAGTTCTCAAAGAAGTATTGAAAACCAAGTGTGGTTTGTCTTAGTATTTTTCCAATGTTTTCCTAATACTTTATTTTTTAATTTTCTAACCTACATATTGATTAGCACTGGGGCATGTGTACCTGTCCATATAGAGAAGTTACGTAAGTCCAGATTAATATACAATCACAATTTTTTTCTGGATGGCAGGATGCAAAATAAATCTAGGTAGAGAGCAGTTGGGAGCGTTGGGAGAGGCCATCCCCCAGTCCTGGGAACCCAGAGTAAACTTTCCCTTCTCTCCATTGGTTACTTTGGAAGATGATATTTGTTCAGAGCTGGTCATCCCTTCCCCTATTACACACCTGTAGGTTAGGCCTTGCTATGACTTCCTCAACCCTACAACCATTCGGCTTGTATGAAATGCTGTGTCCTTTAGGAACCTGGCTGATTATCCAACCAATGAAGAAATGACTAAGGCAGCCTCTCTCATCTCCAAGCAGTTAATCAGCAGCCAAAACTATATTAGAAAGTCTGGAGGAAGTGATTAGAGAAGTGAGTTCAATTATCAGAGTAAGCGTTGGAGTGCGAACATCCCAACCATGGTTACAATCAACATTTATTTAAAGTGAGGCATCTGTAGACAAATAATTCTTAAACTGTGACTCGGGTTGACCCAGCTTCATAGACATGCACTGAGATGCGGCAGCTCCACAGGTCTCCACCACAGATCTCTTTTTGCCCATTCTCTCTCCTTCCTTTCAGTTAGGGCTTAGGGTAGAATTTGTCCTAAAGAACAAAGAGGAAAATAGCAGGTCATGAACCATGAATGAAACTCATTACAATGAGTTACTTTCTGCTTATAACTTAAGAAACTGTATTTCCAACCTCTAGGAACTATGTGCGTTTTGAATGTAAAACCTCACAAAGCTCAGAGTATAGGTCAGCAGAGTACCAAGGAAGAAAGAAAGCCTATAGACTTGTCTGGTATCAGTAGGGTCTGGGGACGGAAGTCCAACCCATCCCAGGAGCTAGAAGATCACCCAGTGGAGTTCACATAACTAAAATTCTTCATTAGAGCAGGACCTGGAGTTCAGGGGAAACAACAGTGGCCCATGAGGCAGAAAACCCGGGCTCTGGTCTAGGCCTTTCATACTAGAGCTTCACGATTTTAGATGTCACTTCAGCTCCAAGTCTCACCATGTTGTTCTTTAAAGCACAGCTGACAGTTATGATAATCTCACTTGGCTGCTGAAAGGTACTCATGTGGCGTGATTTGGAGAAAACTAAAGAGTGCACAATCGCATGTTTCTCCTATTCCTGAATCTGCACTCTAAGTGACCAACAGTGCGAGACTTATCAAACCTGCTCTGCTGCCTCATAGTTTGTCCTCAGCTCCGCAGGGATGACCTGATGCCTCATGGTCTTACTGTGAGCTCCTCAGGAAGCCTTCCTATGACTTCTTTCACATCTTCAGTCTCCTATGGTGTGCCGTCTCACATTAACCCTGTGACAGGAACAGAAGAGTCACATTACAGAGCTATCACAAAAAAGCAGTGCTTTGAGACAGCATCTCACAGTGTAACCCTGGCTAGCCTTGAATCCAGACAGACTCATTTGCTTGTCCCTAGCTGGCCTTAAACTCACAACTGCCATGACTGACCATCCTCTTGCTTCTGCCTCCTCAATGCCAATGCCTGTACTCCTGTGTCAGCTTCATGTGGTTTCTGAAGGTCATCAGGCCTGTGGGGCTCACTGAGGCAGCTCCTCTACCCAGGATTTTTCTTTTCTAGTGAGCAATATCCCTAAGACATATAACTCAAGACTTGACTGAAAAAGAGCAAACAGTTCAAATCATTAGGTAAGATGGAAACCAAAAGCATTTCACACCCTGGTTCTTTTTTGAAGCAACATATGGGTCTCTTAAAAGCACTATAACAGCATTCCTACTTCAGAAGAAGCAACTCAGAAAAGATTTCAAATGTTTATCTTGCTCTGAAAACATGAGTAGAGTACGTCCTTCCTTCTGCTCTGAGACCAGGGTGTTAACTGATGAGGACCAGGGAGATGGTGAGCAGAGGGGGCACCTGCTGCACAAGTCTAACAACCCACGTTCCATCCCTGGACCCCATGGAGAAAGGAGGACTCCCAGAAGCCCTCCTCTGACCTCCACAAGCACACTCGGGTAGATATGCAAATGATAAAATACTTTTTTAAAAGATATAAGGAACTAAAAGTTACGCTGAGGAGCCCTAACATCACTGATGCTTCCATCCAGTTCTGGACCACAAAGGGAAGTCCACGGCAGTTAGAAAGCTCTAACACATCCACAGGTCACACGAACATGTGAGAGCAAGTGCTCAGGACTTCAGCCTCTTCTCAAAAGAACACACACTAAACAAAAATAGTTTAATTTAGATCTGATACGTACAAAACAAAGTAAAGCACGTTTTGGAACTATAAGAATTCTTTAAAAAGTACTGCATGCAGGAAGAACAAGGAGAGGAAGAAGAGGGTAACAGAAAACACAGGTACTCACAATTTGATATTTATTGAATCCTGCAGCATCACAATACCATTTCTGAAAACCATCCAGCCACTTGCTTGACACTGCAACTGTAATGACCACATTGTCAGTTGTCACAATCCACTTACATTACACTTATCTGCAATGCATCTACAGGCAAATGACTGGTAGTCTTATAAACCTAAGAAGTAGTGTCTGTTTGTATATAATGCAGATAAATTATTTTACCCATGAAGATGTTTTGCTCAAAATTAAAAGTGCCTCATATTCACAAATATACTTCCTATTACTTTGAGTTTCAAAGTTTAACGCTTTCTGTCCTTATGTCACCTGCTACCATCAGAATTCAAATGAGATGGGACAGAAAGATGACTTGGGACATTCTATCATTTGTAGTTGCAAAAATAAATTTTCTTTTCAAAGTGGGTGGAGCTATGGGTGGCAGGCTTCTCTTATTCTCCATTTTTTTTAGTCTACATAATCTCACTTGCACATCATCTTTAAAATATACTTATTTCTGGAAAAAGTTTTATACCATCAATTAATCATTTAAATAGTAATAGATTAGTAAAAAAAAAAACATATTTTCCTCCTCCCAAAACAGCTAACTGTTCATCAAAGGACTATTCCTAGATGAACAGTACATGGATAAGGAAAAATACTTCACGTTAAAACTCTTATTGTACCTTGCCCCTCGCCACCTGTGCAGTGTGGGAAAGTTGGTCCTAGGGAAGGAGTGCTCTTTCCAGCTGCCTCAGGCAGGAGAAGTGGTACCACCCTCACCTTGGCAAAGCAGGCGAGCTGGTGGGATGAATAACTCAGCTACCACCCAGGTCCGGATCCAGGGCTTTTAGTGGACCCTATATCCCCAATATGTACCCCATCTATGAAACTGCTGGAGCACATGAAGGGGCTGGTTCTGCAGATCCAAAGCTGTAGGACCTCCATGACACAGGACAACAGGATATCCAAGAGGAGTCCTGTGAGGATCTAGAATTGATAGTGTAGCTGGAGTCAGAGACCTCAAATCAGATCAATGACTCACTGCAATGAACACTTAAAAGAAAAACTGTTTGGGTGAAAGGGTACACTGTGTGACACAGCAGCTTCCACAGCGATACTTGTTTGTTTTCTTTGGGAGGAAGTTTGTAAGAGCAGATGAAAGATACGAAAGGATGGGGAGATGAGTGGGGTCAGGGTGCATTATGTGAAATTTATAAAGAATCAATGAGAAATTAAAAAAAGAAAACTGCCCATGATGATGTTATATTATGTGTTTATATTCTAATGTAGCTATTTACCATAATAACTAAACAAAAGTTTGGCTACTTGGATTATCTTCAAAAACCAACCAACTGAACAAATAAACAAAAAACTCTTTTAATGTAACAGAGCATGCCTGCAATCTCAGCACTCAGAAACCTGACTCATTAAGAGTGTGAATTCCAGGCCTTGTCTAAACAAACAAACAAACAAACAATTAACAACAACAACAAAAACAACAAAATAGGGGCTAGAATATAGCTCAGCCTTAAAGTTCATGCCTGGCATGCAAAGTACTCTTCTCCAACAATAAGGCAAGAACAACCTCACAAGCCTGGAGAACAAGACTGAGCCTGAGATGGGTAACCTAGAAGAGGCCAAGGAAGCTGGACAGTACCTGGTTAACAAGACAGATGTGGTACAAGCAAGAAAGTAGACTAAGCTTAACCAATCTTTTTAAATTGAGATGGGTAGGGAATCACATGTGTGATGCCAGAGAATATTAAATCCTTTTTTCATCTTTATTTTCTTTCTCTTTTTTGAGATGGTATCACTCACTGGCCTGAACTTTTGAAGTATGCTAGGCTCACTGGCCAGTGCACTCAAGGGATCCACCTATCTCTATCTCTCCAAAACTAGGACTAAAAGCATGGAATAAGATTTCAGACTTGTTCTGGCCTTTCCTTCCTTCCTTCTTTCCTTCTTTCCTTCCTTCCTTCCTTCCTTCCTTCCTTCCTTCCTTCCTTCTGTCCTTCCTTCCTTCTAGTTTTCTGAGGCAAGCTTTCAATTAGCTCCCTCTGACTTCTTATTCTTCAGAACAGATTACTACATGGTTTCCTTCAACCTTAGAAATTATCATGTATAAAACATAGGAAAATTAACATAGTAAAGGACTAATGACACACTCAGTTGGTATAGTACCTGCCTAGCCCTGGCTTCCACCTTCAGCACCACTTAAAACCGGTGTGGAAGTACACATCTGCAATGTCAGCACTCTTAGGGTTGAGGACAAAGCATCAGAAGTTCAAGGTCACCCTTCAATGCACAGCTGAGTATAAAGCAGCTTGGGCTACATGAGACCTGATTCAAAAGATACAAATATGAAAGGGTAGAAAAAAATCTAAAAACAAATGTATTGGAGATAAACTGTAAACATAGTTAGCAGTGATTATGATAACGATTGGTATTTACTTAGAGTAAATATCACTTATAGTGACAGGCATTGTTCTATTAGCTCTTTCTACATTAGTTTGACTAAAAGCCTATTGCAGAAAATGACGTAGGCTTATGGAAGGAAGCCAATAAGAGCTCTGTTAAAATCAGGTCTCTAATACCAAATACACACACGGAAGCAGAATGTCTTAAATTTAGTGAGGTTCCTTAAAAATCTGTCAAGTGGGTGAAATTAATGAGTTCACAATTTCTCGGAATGTGAGGGCGTCTTTAAAAGTTATTCCAATTTATACCGCCAGGGGGCACAGAATAGCTTAATAACAAAACAAAAAACTGGTTGGAGAACACTACTCGCAGTGAATGCGGTTTGAAATAGTCTGTCATTCTAGTACACGACAGATTTTTTTTCTAGTGTATACGTTAAAAATCCTTCCAGCCCTGCAGCTCTTGCGCATGTTCCATATTCACCAAGGTTAACCTGAAACTTCACTATAAATCCGTTTTATCGCCCTTGAATTCTGGCAGAAGCTCGAGGGACAGAATGAGGGCTCACAGGCTAATTGTTCCGAGCACCGTTGACGTGTCCAAGTACTCTCTCAGGTCACTGCGGCACAGTCCGCTCACCTACCTCCTCACCTCCCCAAGCTGTCCAAAGGCGGAGGGGAAGGAGACCAAACCGCTGTCCAGCCATGGCCAGCTCCTTCCGACAGAGGTCCCGGTTCCAAACTTCATGCTGGCTGGGCCTGGCACAGAGAAACCAGTCCTTCGCGTGGGACTGGGCCTCCACGAACCTTCCGCGCAAGACTCAGCTACAGCAGAAGGAGGGCAAGTTGCTGGGAAAATAAAACTGCGATATCCACCAAGGAGGACCCGGCACCCTACCAGCAGGCCTAACAGCCATGTTGGCCTCAGTGAAGCGCCGCCTTCTGGGTAAAGTCCTAGAGGGTGCGCCAGGCTCTGCGCAGGCCTCCTGCGGGAGGCAAGGGAGGGTGCCCGCGCACGCGCAGCTCAGTCGGCCCAAGAAGTGGTAAGTCTTGAGTGAGCTCTGTGCGGTAGGCTGGTCATTTTGCGCGCCTTTTCCAAGAAACACTCCTCGTGACACGATGGGGAAAAGAGCAAGAAGTTAGGAGACGGAACAGGGTGTTATTCAGGGTTCTGTTAACAGGAGGGAAGTTTTATGGTACTAATGGAGCCATTACTCGGAGACAGGTAATGTGGTAAAAAGATTTTCCGGTTGGAAGAAGGGGGTTCTAGGATGCCAGAGGATCCTCAGATGCTCGAATTCATTATGTCAAATGGCGCAACATTTTAGTACAGTCTACAAACATTTTGTGCATTCTTTAAATTACCCCTAGATTCCTTTTAATGCGGGATATAAAATAAACACTAAAAATAGTTGTTATGCCGAATCATTTCTGGAAATCACAAAGGAAAGATGTACATATATATACTCCTCTGAAATCTATGATGGACCAAATCTGTAGATATGGAATCTTCAGGTTCAGGAAAGTGGCTTCCCTTTCTCCACCTAACGATCCATAACAAACCATCTTAGTGGAAAGTTAGGTCAGATACCCTTTAAAAATATTAAGTGTAAAGCACGTGCTTATGATCCTACTAGAATTCAGTAAGGCGATGCAGAAGGACCACTGCTAGAGTTGCTTACATGGTGAATTTGACAGCATTCTGGGCTGCCCAGCAAGACCTAACATAAAATAAAACAAAAATATATACTAAGCCTAATATATATTTTAGAATCTGTATATAATATTTATTAAAAGCAGAGAAATTACAAGACTGTACACTTCGAAGTCTCAACCACAACAGGTGAAGTATGAAGACATAAAACTATGGACAAAAAAAATGGAGAAACTGAGTTATTGACTTCTGAGTGTGACCATGACTCAGAAGTGTCCTTACCCTGCTGTCTTTCAGTCTTGAAACCCAGTATAACATAGAACTGTCTCATTATGAATTCAGAATTCATAATGAATAATTGATAATTTGTATTCAAAATTCAAATTAAATATTGCTTAACAACTTTCTTCACAAATTCTAACGTTCTGCTGCCATCACCCTTTTCTTCTGCTTTTGCTGCCATGATTCCTTGTGTCACTGTGTGCTGCTCTAAGAGGGTATACAGTAGCCAATGTGAAGTCTGAAAGAGGAATATACACACAGATCTGTACACTGGCACATTGCTTTGCAAAGAGTAGTTACTAAACTCTTCCTCCTGACAAGTTTCAGCACCGGGTGAAAGTAGCTAGAGAGGAAGCTTGTTTCACCATGGTGTATCAGATATCCAGCCTTACAGGCAGGAAGCCTAGGGCTTGGTGTTTGCTCAAACTTCTTAATACTAGTTTTAAATGTTTTGTGGGATTAGGGAGTTGGCTCAGTGTACTCGTTCATAGGACCTGGAATTAGTTCCTGGACCAATGTCAGACAGCTCATCACCACCTGTAACTTCAGCCTGATGCCCTTTTCTGGCCTCTGTGAGTACACAAATGCACGTGTGAACACACATTCACACACATGTACTTGTAAATAATTACTAAAATAAATGATACACCTATACATGTAAATAATTACTAAAATAAATCTTAGTATTTTAAAAAGTGTTTTATTTCTTTCCTCCTGGCACAGAGATTATACTACTCTGCCCTTTAAATTTTAGATACATACATGTGGTTCTTTGGCAATGCTCCCCCTCCAACAAGTTGTAAAGAATAATCTTTAACGTTTCTTTTCCCTACAGTAGACTGGAAATTCTAGTCATAATGAAAACAATCATGATGCACTAATCTGTACCATTAAACTACTTGAAGTTTCAAGATAGACATACATCAGAAACAGACCTTTATGGTTACAAATGGCTTAAATTTTTAGGATCATGGTACCAGGAGCTAACCTATTCTTTGCATGTTTCTGTGTGTATGTGTTTGTGTATCAGTATGTGTGTAGGCATGTGCAGGCCAGAGGTCTAAGTTGAATCTTTGTCAGCCACCCTTCACCCTGGCTTTTGAGACAGGGTCTCTCACTGAACCTAGAGCTCACCAGTTTGGAAAAGACTGGGTGGCCATCATGGCCTAAGGATCTTACAGTTTTCATCTCTTCAGCAAGGATGGTTCAACATAGAAAAAATCTGTCAATGTCAGCTACTACATAAACTGAAAGAAAAAAATCACATGATTTTCTCATTAGATGCTGAAAAAGTCTTTAACAAAATTGAACACCTTGTCAGGATAAAAGTCTTGGAGAGATCAGGGATTCAAAAGCCATACCTAAATATAATAAAGAAAATCCACTGCAAGCCTATAGGTAACATCAAATTAAATGGAGAGAAACTCAGAGCAATTCCACTAAAATCAGGGATTAGACAAGGCTGCCCACTCTCTCTCTCTCTCTCCATTTCTATTCAATATAGTACTTGAAGTCCTAGCTAGAGTGATAAGATAACTAACTACAGAAGATCAAGGGGATACAAATTGGAAAGGAAGAAGTTGAAACACTGCTCTTTACATATGTTATGATAGTATATATAAGCAATTCCAAAAACCCTACCAGGAACTCCTACAGCTAATAAACACCTTCAGCAAAGTGGCTGGATACAAAATTAACTCAAAAGAAACCAGCAGTTCTCCTATATACAAGCAACAAACGGGGTGATATAAAGTCAGGGAAACAACACCCTTCATAAATAGCCACAAATAATATAAAATACCTTGCTGTGATTCTAACCAAGCAAGTATGACAAGAACTTCAAGCCTTTGAAGAAACCATATATACCCATTGATGCTACAATGCATGACTGTTGCAGGGGTAGCCAGCTGTACTCTTGATTGGATTTGAGAGTTGCTCCACAAAAGAAAATTCATGCTTTATACTGGAAACCTACTCAAAAACCCATGCCCAAGGAGGCTGTAAGCCTTGCTAGTACTGCTGCTAAATGACATGCCACCAAGCTGCCTTCTAAACAGAAAAATAGAAAAATAGACTCTCCATCTTAATCAGAGGAACTTCTCTCTGGAATGAACAGTAAGGAATACAGAGCTTTATGGATGCTTAACGTGCTGAGAATAAAGGGCATTTAAATGCTGAGCCCTAAACAGAATATTTATATAACCCTCTCTAAGGCTCAGTGAACATGCCAGAAGTCAGAAAGAATGTAAGGAGAAAAAGATAGGGACATGGGCTTTGAATAAATGCTGAGGCCAATAGCTTTGACTGTTTCCCGACTAGCTCATATCTTAATTACTTATTTATTTTATTCTAGGTTCTGCCATGTGGCTGGTTACTTCATCCTCAGTTTCTCTATGGCGGGGGAGTGTGTGTGTGTGTGTGTGGACATCCCAAGTCTGACTCTTTTCCCAGAATCCTCTCTCTATATATATCAGTAGTCCCATCTTCTAGGCTGATATAGCCACTTGCAGTCATAATCTTGCAGCAGCCGTGGTTGCATGCCCTGGGCCAGGACAAAACCCAGCACCACATGGAAGAGGCTTGTGGAAGAGCTCCACTCCTTCCTGCAGAATTATTGACTACTGTTGGGTTCATGGAAAGAGGCAGTAAGTTACCTCAGTAACCCACTGGTAAGCCCACCAGGCTTCAAAGCAAAATTCCAGACACAGATAGCTAGCTGTACTGAATGGAAACATCGCCTGACAATAAAAGCCTCACTGGCCAACAACCTGAGTATTAGAAGATGGGACTACTGATATATATATAGAAAGGATTCTGAGAAAAGAGTCAGACTTGGGATATTCCACAACCCCCCCCCCTTGCCATACAGAAACTGAGGATGATGTAACCAGCAATGTGGCAGAACCTAGAATAAAATTGGTGATTCTTGTCATTGTATGTGGGATAGTAATATTATGTTGAGACATTATTATTATGAGTTGTTTATTGTTTTCATTTGGAAACTAGTGATGACATAGGGATATATGAATGTGTGTCGAGTTTCAAGGGGTGGAATATTGATGGCTATTCTTGGTTGTCAACTTGGCTACACTGAGAGTTAACTAAATCCACAGAATGGAGGGTACACTTGTGAGGGATTTCTGCTTATTTTGAAGTGGGAAGATCTACTTCTAAACAGATCTTTGATATTTTTAACCCATTTCTTTAATCCATATCTAATTTGGGCCATGCATTTTTTTTGGAAGTCTAAGGAAATGGGAGAAGAAAGTTTTGCTCTTTGCCTGCTTGCTCTGGCCTTTCTAGCAAGCCAGTTCCCTCATTTACATTAGAACCTACTTCTTCAGGATCCCAGTGTAACCAGCTGAGAAATCCAGCCTCATAGACTGACTAACTACTGGAAAAGACTGGGTAGCAAAAGTAATCAGAATGTTTTATACATATGTATGAAATCCTCAAAAACAAATTTAATAAAGGATATAAAAGGTGTTTAGAAGCCAGGCAGTGGTGACGCACACCTTAAATCCCAGCACTTGGGAGGCAGAGGCAGGCAGATTTCTGAGTTCGAGGCCAGCCTGGTCTACAGAGTGAGTTCCAGGACACCCCGGACTATACAGAGAAATCCTGTCTCGGAAAACAAAAACAAAAACAAAACAAAAAAAGATGTTTTGAAAGATAATTAAAATAGTTTTAATAAATCTCTTCAGAGACCATGTAGAAATGTATACATTTAAATTCATTTACTTATAAGTGCGAGTGTGTTTAAAAGTCTGCCAGGATCAATGAAGGAAAATATTAAGAACAATCATTTCTGGAAGTCAAAATATCACTATTTGCAGATGATATGATAGTATATTTAAGTGACCCCAAAACTTCCACCAGAGAACTCCTAAACCTGATAAACAACTTCAGCAAAGTGGCTGGTTATAAAATCAACTCAAACAAATCAGTAGCCTTCCTCTATATGAAAGATAAACAGACTGAAAAAGAATTTAGGGAAA